CTCTCAGTCATCTTCATATGTCCATTAGGAACTGTAAGAATGAATTCACAGTAACAAAGAATAATCCAATTGATGTGTATTTGCTATACTGTGGCCAAAAAACCTGTTGCTTAGTGTAGTAAATCTCACTAGAGTAGGCCCATGAGGATTTAGTGAGTCAACTCTTGCATAAGTTCCATTGACTCAAATGGACCTATTCTGTCCTCAACTTACTCTGCCAAAGTAAAGCCCATTTGAATCATGTTACGGGGAAAATAACTTACTAAGTCACCATTTGGAACTTATGGAATTTATAAATAGCTGATGGCAAATCACCATTGATTCAGTTGGTCTACTCTAGTGTAATTTACTATGCTAAGCAACAGGATTTTGGTCAATGAGTACTGATATATGTAGACTAGAAGTATATTGAGTATATTTTTGTAGAATTGTGGAATCTGGAAATTAAGTGCTGTGCATTTCCATTTTTTTGATCCTCAGAATATAAACCTCCATAGGAGCGCATAGGAATCTATATAAAATTTAGAATTCTAGTTTATTCTTAATTGTTCCAGATAGTAAAGTTACTCTAAAAGTGAAAATCCATATGTTGAAATCAACTTGGATATAAGCATGAGCTTATCAAAATGAAATTTAACATGGATCTGGGAAGATTTTAGAACAAACCAGGGCAAATTGTGGCCTGCGGACCACTCCTGTACAGGCCGCCGGTCATTGCTCCAGTCCGGCCTGCCCATCACTGCTCCTGTCTGGCCTGCCTGTCACTGCTGAGTGAGCCGGAGCTTCGGCTCCGGTCACCCAGCACAGCAGTAAGCAAAACTGGCGAGATCCGACACTTGGATCTCTCAAGTTTTGACTGTGACTCTTGAGCCGCATGCTCAACAGTTTAGGGAGTTACTACATCAGCCTTGTAGTTCGTTCACCGCAGGGCCTCACCAAATGGGGGCCTATTACTACCCACCTAATGAGGGCTTATTTTTAAGTAAAGTTGGTTCGGCCCCTGGACACAGTTCAGATTTTTCATGTGGCCCCCTATAGAAATTAATTACCCACCCCTGTTTTAGAATGATTATTTAATTTTTAAGCAGTATATTTTTGGACCATAAAAACTTATGTGTTAGTATTTCTCCATTCATGAAGCACATAATCCATTATTACACAGAGATGCTGTTTTTGGTGACCCTATACCACTACATAAAGATTTTCAAATCTTTATGTAGTGATTAGCCTTTATGTAGTATATATGCATGTTAATAAAACTGCCAGCCTGAAATTTCATTTTCTATGTCTTCCACAAATACAAATATTAGTAGGAACATAAGTCTGTTGTGAACTACTTTTTTTTCTTTCTATTTGAGAAAGTTCTGCGATCACTATTCATAAATCAAGTTCTCTTCTGGTTCATTTTTCATTATTTTTCACTGTTAATCAGATAGCTGGTATTACTCAGTGTGGATAGAGTGATGAACTAGGACTCTGGAGACCAGGTTCTGGATCTCCGCTTGGCCATGAAAGCTCACTCGGGATGTGGATCTGGCAAAACCGCTCCTCAAATATTTTATTTACCTTGAAAGCTCTAATTAGTGTTGCTATAAGCCTGTTCCAGCCTAACGCACATAACTGTATTGCCTAACATTTTTTAATTGTTGTACTACTTCCATGGCTTTATCTGACATGGATTTCATAATATGAGACGGGGCCATTAAAATAGTGATGCTGCATCCAAAGATACGTGTTGTATCTAGTGTTGGTTTTCCCTAGCATAAAATGCTTCAGTTTATATAGTTTTAGGCACGATGCTTTTGATAATATCCCTTCACCCACATAAACCCCTTCCTGAACTCTGCTGCAGTGCAGATTTGTGAAAAGTGGATGCTTTGACTATCCTGAACAGAAATGCTTTCCATTCAGAGCCATCCTTGGATAAAACCCATTGCTCTGACAATACAAATAAACTGTCATTTCTTTACATACTATGTATCTGGAATAGAAGCCATAACTCTGGCAATATAATTTCACTAGATAAAAGACTGGACTCATAAATTATGGCATTACGAAAGAAGAAGAAGAAGAAGCCATGATCTTAATGAACATAATCAATGTGAGCTGATAACATAAAATACTGCCTGAAATCCTTAAATGCAACTGTGCACAGTAAGGCTGATGATGTCATCAGCAGTGATTTTTTAAAAAAAGAGAAATTAAACATTTCGAAGTTCTGTCTTGAGGCCTAACTTTCATCATCAGGAAGCTATGGGAACCACAGGACAGGAGGAAGTATTTAATTACTGAAAAGCACTGCCATTGAGATGATTTTACTGGCAGCCACAATTCTCAGGAATTAAAGACTTATTCTCCCTGTCCTGCAGTTCCCACAACTTCCCAACAAATAAAGTGATTACATGAGAGAGATGGGAGCCACGGGACAAAAATGAGAAATATTTAATTGCTGAAAAAAAATGCTGCTGGTGCTGACATCATTATCCTTCTGTGGTATAATTGTGCAAACAGGATTTCAGCTTTTGATATAGATGAGTGTGAATGTCTGCCAGGGACTAGGCTAATTTATTTGAGGGTACATGTCAGTCCAATATGGTGGCATCCATAATGAAGTCTAGGCCTTGCTCTGCCTACCTTTTTGCTCCAAAAGGAAGCTCTTGACAAGCTCTGGGACTCCTTTCTTTTTGAGGGAGTTAGGTCTATGCTAGACCACAAAGCCTTCAATTTTGGGCCTTTCTCCTAGGTGAGCCACATTAGCTTTCTGTAGTTATCTGTCTAGCAGGTGGGATTCCCAGGACGAGAATTGTGGGATTTATGGGGGGAGAACCCAAACGGCACACCCTGGTTTTACACTCTTAGCACTTGTGAATGGAGTCATCTAAATTGTAATTGTGCAAGCAGAAGTCACCCTGTCACAACAATAAACATATATGCACAATGGCTATAATGCATAAATAGGATGGCAGATCTTTCTGCTCTACTGTCATTGAATAGTAACTTAGCCTTTGTCTGATCCAGCAAGGATTCATATATGTGGGTCTCCTCAAGAGTTTGAATGGTTAAATTTTTTTTACTGCAAAATAGATGCTATAAATTAAATAAAATGGTACATGGTATTATGTGCTTATGCTGTTCTGTGATGTGAGATCAAAATCCTTATTGTATAAAATAACAAATAACTTCTGTAAGTGCATAAATGTTCACTCCCTACCTGGTCCTGCCGTCATCTCCTCCTCTTCCTCCTCTTGTCCTTCCGGGAGCCAGGCCAGCTGTCTCTGAAGATGGTGGAGGTGGAGGAAAAAGAGGAGATGATGGCAGAACCAGGTAGATAGGTCAAAGGGGCAGCAGGAAGGGGTCAGGGGGGCATCAATTTTTGCCAATGCAAAATGAAGCATCGAGCAGAAAATAGTTCAGCACTTTCTTTCCTTTAGGCAAAATGCCTTGCATATTCAGTTCGTAGTTCGGTTTGTGCCCATCTCTAATTCTGAAACATGACTGACTATGATGACTACAATGGTTTGAGAACAGAGTGATACAGATAATCATTAAAGATAATTTAGTGATAAAGATGGTTAATGGAATGATTTCTTTTATGTAGGAACTGTTATAAATATTGGAGACCTGGATAACTAGTGATATATCCCTAGTTTTCTTTTGGAAAATGTAGAATTTTAAAATCCTTGAAGCCTGTCTGTTTTTACAAAACTTTGCATATACAGTTGCTCTTTTCCCAGTGTTTGCCCAATGGAGTATTCCTCATCATTTCCACAAATTCTATTACCATATCTGTTTTTTTATTAGTAGCCATTACCATATTGCAAAGCTAAGTGATTTAGCTATTTTTTAAAACCTCATCCCCCCCTCTCACACAAAGAGACTTATACAGCAAATTTTTAAGGAATGAACAATTATAAGAATGCAGCAATATTATAATTTATTTGTCAATATTTCATAATGTTAATATTCATAAGAGAAGGCTTTTAAGAAGTTAGTGAATGATTAGGAAAGGCCAGGGCAAAGAAATAAGTTGTAATAATCATCATTGACATAATCTGGCATTATTGGTGCCAGATATATTATGTTGTCTTAGAGTAATGTTATCAGAGAGATGGCCTTTGGCTAGTCTGCCACCAGATAAGATTCTGTGGGATAGTCAGATAATATGGCCTATCCTAAAGACCTTTGGGGGGGGGTGCCTAATAAGCTGATATGGGGAGGGGGAGACTCTCTGTTGCTTAGTGCTTTTGTGTCAGTAACATCACTACGAATATGAATCAATAACAAACTCGGCCAATGCAGCTTTTATAACAGGGGTGTCACATGTTCATGAGAAGGCAAATTCCCAGGTAGATTATAGCTATAATTTATGATAAACTTCCATGTAGAAAAATTATCAGAGTGGAATCCTAAAAAGGATTCTGTCATCATTTGCTTCAATCAATGTTATCTTTTGTGATTCCCAATACGCTAAAAAGCCTTGTCAACCAAAAATCAAAATACCAGGTCAGCGTAGCAGTGAGAATGGTAATATCACCAACTCTTACTGGTTCTGCTTACCAGGTCCGTGATGTTGGTTTTTAAGCCACAGCTTCTCCTTAGAACTGGAATAATTTCCACAGGAGGACATTAATTAATTAATTGATTGATTGATTGATTGATTGATTGATTGATTGATTAATTAATTAATTAATTAATTTAGTGATCACTCAGGCAAAGATACAACACATTCCTTAACCATTTCTTAACATCTGGCCTCTTGGAACTATCCACTAGTCTGGCCAGGCAGCATGAAACTATATGATCCCCTCTGAATTTCCGTCCAAATATTTGTTGAAGTTCTTTCAGATTATCAGTCTTGCAACCATTATTTTGAAATGATGATGGTGGCGGTGGTGGTGGCGGTGTGTGTGTGTGTGTGTGTGTGTGCGTGTGCGTGTGTGTGTGCGTGCGTGCGTGCGTGCAGTGTCAAGGAAACTCACACTTTCTCTTTTGATCTTTAGTATAACATACAAACAGATCAGTACAGAAGTTGTGATAACGTCTCTGCCAAATCATCAGATAGTGATGTCAGTGATGTGTCAGCTATTTCCCGCACCAGCAGTGCCTCTCGCCTCAGCAGCACAAGCTTTATGTCAGAGCAATCAGAACGCCCTAGGGGCAGAATCAGGTGAGTTTGCAATATAGTTTTAAATCACTCCATTCTTCTCTGTTTCTGCCAACTACAGCCGTGTATCTATTTCCCCAGTATATACAAATGATAATTATTAGGTGCAAAAAAAAAGGGGGGGGGCTACAGCAAGCTTTGGATATCTATAGCTTCACACAATATGGATAATAAACCCAGAAAACTGAATGTTCTGAACATTGGGTCAACTAGAAATTCAAATGTTCACAAAAGTGTTCACTGTAAAGCTGTAGTAATAAAATCATATGAGTATATACCATGCAAGAGTGGTTGGGTACCTCTATAGCAGTCAGGAAGATTAATCACGAAGAGTCAAAATTTCAGGAATGCTGCTGAAATATTGGTGTGTTTTCTTGAAAAGATGTTTCTAATCGTACTAGAAATTCTGCCCTTTCCCTGTAAACAAGAGGCAGATAGGTTCAGTGGTGACACAGTTAACACTATGGAATGTTTGTACACACACAGTACAAAGATCATGCATTGTTTCTGAGTTTGTCTTCCCCCTTTGCTGATGTAACTTTGGACCATTTAAATCTAATCCTGGTTGCACAGATACACTTGCCTGCCTTGCCCCCAAAGCAGTCTTTACTCGCCTTCAATGAGAAAGCCAATTGCAAGGGTTTCCCCTATATAATCAGTAAGATGAGTACAGATTCTATGGTTGGGGCTCTATGCAAATTCCCCCTCCTCCCATACATAGTCATTTCCCAATATGAATTTTTATCTTCACAGGAGTCAGTCACAGGTAAAGGTCTTCATGTGAAGAAGATCTTTCACATGACCAGGGGCAACATTCAGGTGTCTCTCAGCTGTTTTCCCTGTGTGTTCCAGTAACAGTGATCACAATGGCTGCATTGGGCAGTAGCAGTATATTTAATGATCCGGGACCTGAGAACACTATGGGACCGCATTTGTAGGAACACAGCAGGAGCTCTGGTTGTACGGAGAACATTCCATTGGCCGATGAACCTCCTCGTGCCTGTGTCTGAACAGATTTTACATGTAAAAATAGAATCAGTTCATGTTAGCTTTTTCAGCTAGTGGTTAACCATAAATTCCTCCACATGCTGGAGCATCCTGGGAAATGCCATCTTTTATGTGGATAATGACTATGACAGTCAGCCTGTTGCCTTCTTCAGTTAACTATGAAATGCAATTTAGACACTTTCAGAAAACCAATTGGGAAAACTGGTAAAAGAGAATTTATATGTGTCAATAACTGGCTATCCGAGGCACATTCTTTCACATCACAAACACAGCAAGCACTCCATCAATACATTTAAAAAACACATTTTATACATTTTTTTGGAGACGGTGATATGCCTCTTTCCATTAAAGGAATCCATCACATCAATTGCCACCTCAAATGGTTTTTGTTTTCTGAGCCTATCCATTGTCATACTTTCATGTTATAAATGGATTTGTCTTTTCTTTATTGTGGGGGAGGGATGCTGAATGAATTGGTTTACTGAAAGTTGAAGTTTTGCATGGGACAGATCAGAATCTACCTTTTCTTCTGTTGAAAGAATGACTTGTCTGTGATTGGAAACAGGTATCTGACACCAATTGATTATAAAACAAAGGATATGATTCCAGCACTCTCTAATGCAGAGTAATTTTTATTTTATTTTTTTTTTATTTTATTTAATTTATATCCCAATGCAGAGTAACATCCTGTAACTGCAAAGGTTGCTGAACTGCAACTCCCCCAATATCATATTGTTTCTGTTTTGCCTAGGACTGACAGGAGTTGCAATCCAGAGTCATCAAGAGGGTTACCAAAAAAAATAAAATCACCAATCCTCTTAGTGGTTTCCAAACTTTTTTGAGTCACACCCCTTTTATAATAGCCAAGTAACCTGCAACTCTTCCTGCCATGTTTGCATAAAAAAGCATTTTAATGGGTTAAAGTAATCTCTTCTCAGAAAGTAGAGACTTCTTTCTCCCCTAAAGGGCCTGTTTCTCACACATATACATATAGACTCATGTCCCGTTCTGAAAAGTCAAAGAAGAAATTATTTAACAAGGGCTGCAATACATATAAGATGAGCCATGATATTCCCCGAAACACTTTGTGACTTCCTTAGAGTTCACAACCCCCAGGTTGGAAAACACCGCTCTAGTTTAAGTCAGTGGATTTAAGTGTTCAGTATCAAATGTGTAATATACATCTGAAACTGTATAACATTGCTTAATAATTTAGATGCATATACAGTTATCTACATATATTGCAGTCTGTGACGCAAGTCCTTGACAAATGCTTCTGCAGTATTGTTGTTACTGAGTCAATGGTGGGAAGGTTCATATTTCATTAAAAACTCACATTTCTGACTTGTCGATTTTGGTGACATCACAGCAGTACAACCAGTGGCTGGAAGGACATGCAAACATACATACCTGTAATACTTTCTGGCCTCATGGAAGCCATAATGTCTTTCCCTTGGGGAAGGCAAGGACTGAGGCCTTGTCCCGAGACCAAAAGAGTCTGTGCTCAGTGAGATACCAAGCAACTACAGCTAAAAACAGAAGTTTGCAGACAACTGGAAAAAATCTATTGCTGCTTGAAAAGTATATGTTGTAGTGTTTTTGGTCATACTTTTGCCTAACATGTATTTGAAGCACTACAAAAACAATGCAAAATTGTTTTGCTTGAAATGTTTTGCTTGAAGATGTGTGTGTGTGTGTGTGTGTGTCCCAGACAATGAGCTTTCTTTCATACAACCTCCATCCCTCTGGGAAAGCACTGTCTGTCTCTAGTACAACACATGGATGCCAGGATTGTTATGGTGCCTGCTTCTGGTGATGCAGTTCTGTGCACAGCCGTTAGCAGTGCCTGTGAATTAATCTGGGGTGGAATGGTGAATAGCATACATACACCCTGGTCCTATAAAGACACATGGAGCATAGATAGGAGGGTTTATTTAGATGTATCAGGGGTATTTATTGCCTTTTAGAAACCTCTCTCTAAGATTTAAACATTATCATTGACAGTTATTTTTCAAGAACTAAAAAAGGTTGGAAAAGACTTGGACACAACTTGTAAAACATATGGAAAATATTATTTGACACATGCATGAATCCTGGAAAACTAGTAAAATTCCAAATTATATTTCTACCTTTAAAGCTAATATGTTCATTAGGATTGTTGCATAAGTTTTTATTTTTAAGTGGTTTCAGTTAATTAAATTGTTTTATGTCACTGTCCAGCACCCTCCCCTGTTTTTGCTTGTTAAGCACAAATGTCTATGGATAAGAGTAGCAATGTTGACAAGATATATAATGAGATTTCTACATCTTGAAAAACTAATAGTGGTAGATAAATTCATGCTGTGCTTCAGAGAATTCAGAGCATAAGCCTGTACAGCTATAACAAATCAATTATCATGGTATGAAATACTGAAAGAGAAAATTCAAAAAATATTTCTGCCCCTCCTCCCAGAAGTAACGAACTATAAGCTAAATCCAATTTTATGGCCACTTTGGGTAGACATATTTAAAAGAATGGAACGTGTTGCTTAACACGAATTTTAAGTCCCCTTGATTTCTATGGTCTGTTCAAGTTGAGATTAATTTGGTTTCTGTCTTATTTGGGTAGAAGTAGTTTTTGAAATTAAAAGTTGGGTGGTTCGTGCTCTCTCTCTTTTTTGCTTGCTTGTTTCCTTTTCATCTTTGTTATTGTTGTTTGTGCTTTGAGTATTTTGAAATCTCATGTGAATACAATGTTAGTACATGTAGTGCCTTGTTTTCATTTTGAGTTATCTACCTTTAATTTTGCATGCCTGCATGTTGTGAATATGGAAAGGTCAAAGTCTTTAGAGATCTGCAAAACTGATGGGAAAAAGGACAGAAGGATATCATGGGAATTAGATGACAAGACGGGGGACTGTGGAAAGACAATGACTGTGGAAGAAAAGAAAAGGAGAAGGCATACTGTGGCTGATGTGAGGTAAAGGTTAGCTTCCTTACCTTGTGTATTAACCCCAGTAAGCATAGTTGTCATTATTTTACTGACCTGGAGAACTGGATGTTGTCCTGGCTTATTCATTGTTTGCTTACGCTCTAGGGAAATTACGTGTTCACTTTCTAAAGTTTATTTTCGGGGTGCGTGTGTCTTTGTGTGTGCGTCTTTTCCTCCCCCTCCTTTTTTGCAACTTTGAACATATATAGAAAGTTGATTTCACAACTACCTTTAGTTCTGTTGTACTCAATTACTCTGAATGTCACAATGATACTAGAGACAGAAGCATCACTCCCATTCATAAAAAATTCTTCTGTTCTACTGTTCGTCTAATGTTTGCCCCTGTGTCATTCCCACAAAGTATAAAAATGTTTGTTTACAATTGTAGATAGATTCTATAGCTGCATATATGCATAGTTTACTTATTTCCTGTGGAAGACCTCACTTAATTTAATTTTAGTTATCTTTTTCTGGTCTAGCAATGCTGGAAGAATAGGGTTCGAATTTGTGCAGCACTTACTTTTGGGGCAGGGGCACATTTTCTAAACAGTTTGAAAACTCAGTAGCAAGACTTTGAGCACAGTAAAAGGTACAACTGTTTTGGAAAGAATATAACTAATTTAACATGGGTATTTTTTCTAGTGTTAACTATCTTAATGTTTTTTTATTTTTGTATCCAAAAAGTGTTCATGCAAGTGTAATAAAAATTATGCCTGTATGAATGTGCCAGATGTTACACCTGGAAACAAAGAACAATCAATTGTGTATCCTTGGCATGAACAATTGCACAATGTGCTTGGTGGATGTGCTTCATGAGTAATTAGATGATAAATTGTTCCACTCAACAGTGTTTTGCCCATTGTATACATTCAACGGAATTTTTTTTGTTCTCCTCATTCATTAACTGGAGGTTGTTGTATAACAGATATTCATGAAACCCTGTTGTTCAAAAAGGCCTGTTGGCTTCCTTCACATCTGTAATGCAATAATTGAAATGAAGTACCATATTTTTCCGTCTATAAGACTATACATTTGTCTAAAAAATTTAGACTGAAAATTGAGGGTTATCTTATACACGGAAGTAAGCTGAAGAGAGTACAAAAACAAGTGGAGGGGAAAGCAGGGATCAAATTGTTCCTGCAGGGCTTTGATCCCTACTTTCCCATCCACTTGCTACTCCTTAGCAAAGGAAAGCAGGGATCAAAGTGCGGCAGGATCGCTTTGATCCCTGCTTTCCCCTCTGCTTGCTATGCCCCATGGGGCTTAACAAAAGGAGGGGGGAAAGAATCAAAGCAATCCTGTGGCTGTAGAAGGGGGAAGGGATCAAAATGATCATGCAGTTGCAGGATTGCTTTGATCCCTTTCCCTCTTTTTCCTAAGCGCCGCGGGGCTTAGCACGAAGGGAGAAAGCAGGGATCAAAGTGATCCTGCAGCACATTGATCCCTTTCCCCCTACACTTGCTAAGCCCCACTTAGATTTCTTAATTTTCGGTTAGAAAAGTCGGGGGCCTCTTATACATGGGGGCATCTTATACACGGAAAAATACAGTAACTAATTTCATGCTGGCAAAGCAAGCATCCGACAGCAGAGAATTTGGCCTTGTAGCTTGTAGATTTATCTCTGTCTTTCCTTTTTTCTCTTTTCCTGTCTTTCCACACTCATGCTTGTTGATGTGTCTTCATTTCTTGCTTATACAATGTTTGCCAAAACAAACAGCTGAGTCCTGTTACAAATTTGTAAGTGGTTGTACCCTCGTGCTGCTGGAGTGCAGTCAGGCACATAATTGTTCACCCAACAAGTGGATATAGGGAAGTGTATCTCTGTCTTTCCTTTTTTCTCTTTTCCTGTCTTTCCACACTCATGCTTGTTGATGTGTCTTCATTTCTTGCTTATACAATGTTTGCCAAAACAAACAGCTGAGTCCTGTTACAAATTTGTAAGTGGTTGTACCCTCGTGCTGCTGGAGTGCAGTCAGGCACATAATTGTTCACCCAACAAGTGGATATAGGGAAGTGCAATGCAATGTGGCTTGCTGTTCATCGTGCTGCTGGAGTGCAGTCAGGCACACAATTTTTCACCCAACAAGTGGATATAGGGAAGTGCAATGGACAGCAAAGCGGAGTGGAGAGGTAGAATCATTGGTAAGACTCATATTTTGTAATTACAGAAGGCAAATGGTATTCTAGAAAATAAATGTGTTAGTCTTTAAGAATATGCTGTTTCCTCCATCTTTAGAAGGAGATGGATAATAGAGCTCATCCAGAAATTATATTCTTAATCTGTGTGAATTTTTTCAAAATATAGTGTTGCATGTAAAGTACAGTGGTGCCTCGCTTAGCGACTGTTGCATGTAAAGTATATGCATAATATGGCTGATTGGGCTTAAAGACTAGCATCAGCTTCTATTATGATGATTGGAGAAAATGCTAGGTTTTTCCACCTTATCAGAGCAGGTTGTGTTGGCAGTGGGGGTAGGGGAGACAAGGGTTTGCCTTCAGCCAGTTATGCTGATAGCAACAGATCCATCAGTAGACATACCTCACTGGATCCTGGCCTTTGTTAACATTTATGAAGGCAAAAGCAATAATGATATGAAGGATGTGGACAGAATGGGGTCCTACTGAAACTGAGACAGAATTTCAGCATCTGGGATTCAAGTACATTTCATACCAGTTGCTTTTCCATACCAATAATAAAAAATTTTTCATTAGCTAATCTCAACCTGGGTTTTTTTGGTTGCTTGTTTGTTTGTTTTTGGCCATGGCCATAAACACAATATGAAAGAAATATAGGCCAAATCAAGATTGTATAAATTACAAAACGAACTTTATGGGATAGTGTGTGAAGAACTATTTCCAGTCTGTGCCTCCCTTCAAATGTTCCAGCCACCACCCACTCCCGAGGCCATATGACCCCCTTTGAGAATGGCTGAATAAAACTGTTGTTTAAATTATATGTGGGGGGGAAATTAAACTGACAGATTTGCCCATCAAGGCCCAGGGCTCTACTCTTACAAGTCTCACTTGAATCCCTGTGTTTCTTAGTGCTGAAAACAAGGGCTGTCATTTCTTTTTCCCAAGAACCTCCTTGTGTTTGGCATCCACATGGTATGTAGGTACAACTTGGTTCTCTCCAGTAGGGAAATGTGTGTGTCTAATATCTGTACCCCCATGACTACCACAGAGTCCACCAGTTTTAAAAATTGAGTTCCCATCAAAGTACTGTAATTCCTTGTCCCACCACCTGTGGTTTTTTTATGTGCATGCAGCTTTCTGCCAGAAACATTTGCTGGTAATATAATGACAGGGTTCCTCCTTGTACAACCTTCCATTCCTGCTAATTTTAGAGGGAAGTGTTCTATCCTTAATTAAAAGCGAATTGTTTTCCTATATGCACGGGGGGGGTAGGCCCAGTATGTGCTATGCTATGCAAAAATCTACCAACTCCCAGATTATCCTTTTCCCTCTTTCTCTGCCCCATTGCACCCACACAGAGGAAACCTTATTTGAAAACAGGAAAGGATGTTGTGTGATTTTATCCTGCATGGAAGCAGAAGGCATAAAAATGTAAAATGGCTGTGGAATGCAGCATCTGTCTATGGTACAGTTTATACTGTGGTATTTTGTTGCTGCCCAAGATTTGCTCTAGTAAAGCTAAATAAAGAAATGCTTTAGGTGATTTCCTTTTAGGTTCACCTTTAGTCTAAGGTCAGCAAGATGAGTTGTAGGGTTTCACTACAGGTTTGCTGTGGACATAGCAGGATGAATTAGCTGTGGTTATCATAAAGCTTGGATCTGGCAGGCTGCAGATTTTTCTGTGGCTCATCATCAGATTCCAGCTTTGCATCACATTAGGCCCACAAAAAACATGCATAAATTAGCATTTTACCAGAGTCTTGAATGGGACTGAGTCCCCAGCAGGTTTGCTCTGCAGTTTGCATAGGACTGCAAGCTAAGCTGCTAGAAGAATCAGGTTAATGAGGTTTTTTTCTAGCCAAGGGTGGTTTTTGTTGTCTGTTTGTTTGTTTTGTTTTACAATGGCTGTCAAAAAGGCCCACTGAATACAATTTGGGGGAGCACTTAAATGTGGCACACTTCAAGTAACAGTTTAGCTTATTTTTAGAAGTGTGTTCCTCATTAAAAAAAGAAGTGATTATCTTCCCCTTTAGTCCAGGAGTGCTACTTGCTCTGAAGTTATTAGTATTCATGAGCAGCCTCCTTGCAAAGGGCTTCATAGGGGCTCAGAATTAGTTTGTGATTCTGTTTTTGGCAGAGAAGGCAGAAAGCATAGCAAGTGGCACTGGTGAAAGGGAGTGATCCTGTCTAAAGACCAGGGTCACTAAGCCTATATACCAACATCGACGAAGACCATGGATTATTGATGTTTTTTTATTGCACTGAAGAACTATCATGGAATGGGAGCAACCTACTAATGAATAAAAATATCAGAGATTTCTCTTTCTGAGAGATCAACATGACTGGGAAAGTGTGCTAAAATTTCAGAACAACTGTGACGGAACTTGATTACGGAAAAAGATGTATTTTCATAGAGTACATAGGTGAGTTACTTTAGAAAGAACCTGATGAATAACTATATAGTATATTTGCTTTCAGTTTTGTCATTATTATGTGTACAACTGAGGCACAGAGACTAAACAATCACCAATTTGACAACCTTTTTATATCAACATTAATCTATTTTTCATTGTCCCATACTTATTTAATCTACCTACTATTTTGTATGTAATTGACCTATGTAATTAACCTTGAAGTAATCGAAATGTGTTGTTTCTGCATGTCACCTAATTTGCCTGCTTCTTACGGAATAGAGCATGTCCTTTAATTTATTCCCAGTTTGGTCAAATCGCACAACTTAAACTAAGCCTTATGAAAAGTGCAGCAGAATAAAACTTGAAATAAATGCTATTGTATGTAATCTTGGTGAATTAAACAGCTCTTTTTCTGACAAGGCAAGTTTGCCATGTTAA